GAAAACAAAAAACGCCCCACAGAAGCAACACCCAGCAGGTCAGCCATGATCCCACCCTTCCTGACACTCTGAATAGTTCCTTTGCACACTTCGATACAGCTATGTGCGGATCAGCTGGCAGGAGTTCTCCTGGACATTTTTAATTTGTCCCTGCATCTTGCTTCAGTCCCTCTGTGCCTCAAGTTCTCCATCACTGTGCCTGTGCCAAAGACATCAGCTGTCACCTGCCTCAATGATTATCGCCCTGTTGCTCTGACACCAGTAATCATGAAGTGCTTTGGTTCAAGGTTCAAGGATTTTATTATCAATTCACCATATGTGCAGGACACACAGAAAACTGAAATACCGTTTCTCTCTCACCTAGTATTGGGTGCCATAATATTTAGGAACTAAAATAGAATAAAGTAGAATAAAAATAGAATAGAGGATTGTCCTAAAGTACATCAAGGACGTCATCCTTGTTGGTTTGGACAGCCATCAGTTCGCCTACAGAGAGAACCGATCAACAGAGGATGCTGTCTCAATAGCAGTACACACAGCCCTGTCCCACCTGGAGCATCCTAACACTTATGTCAGGATGCTATTTGTTGACTTTAGTTTGGCATTTAATACTGTAATCCCAGACAAACTGGTACTGAAACTGCACAATCTGGGAATGCATGCAATGATGTGTCATTGGATTAAGGACTTCCTCACTAACAGGCTTCAGGTGGTGAGAATCAGAAGCTGCACATCATCCAGACAGGTCCTGAACACAGGCACACCACAGGGGTGTGTGCTCAGCCCAGTTCTCTTCACTCTGTTTACCCATGACTGTGATGCCATTCACTCCACAAATACAGTTGTGAAGTTCGCGGACGACACCACCGTAGTGAGTCTCATCTCATTCAATGATGAGACTCACTACGGAGAGGAGAGCCAGCACCTGACAAGGTGGTGTTCAGATAACAATCTTGTCCTGAACACCAACAAGACTAAGGAGGTCATTGTGGATTATAGGAGGTCCAGGAAGACAAAAAAATGCTCCTCTTCTCATACACGAGGAGGTGGTTCCTGGGCATCCACATCACATCTGACCTGACCTGGTCTCTGAACACATCCTATCTGGTGAAGAAAGTCCAGCAAAGGCTTTTCTTCCTCAGGAAGCTGAAACGCACTGGTCTCTCCTCTCAGCTGCTCGCCAACTTCTACAGAGCGACAGTAGAGAGCATCCTCTGTCTCAGTGCGACAGTGTGGTATGGGAGCTGCACTGCACAGGACAGAAAGGACTTTACCCGGGTGGTGAGAACAGCTCAGGGCATTGTATGGAGCCCTCTTCTGGATCTGGACTCGCTATACACTGACCGGAACCAGAGGAGGGCCGGACAGATTGCTGCAGACCCCACCCACCCAGGCAACAGTCTGTTTGTGCCTCTTCCCTCCAGGAAAATGTGCAGGAGTATAAAGACTAAAACAAACAAACAGACTGAGACACAGCTTCCCCACAGCTGTGAAATCAATCACCCCCCTAACCCCCAGTCACACACACAACTTCCCCCCTATGGACAGATACAGATAAAATACTGGACTCCTGCAGACGCACACACATGCTCACACCTCTTCTTAAAGACTGAGATTTGCACTGAGCTGCACTTTAGAATGTGACTATATTCTTCTGCTACTAACATGCTGCTGACCTGATTAGGTCCCACACATTTTCATTTCTATCTGTTCATATTTTTATATTGACTTGTACAATTTTTGTGTTATTTATGTAAATAATAATAACAATGTCTTTTAACCTGAGAGCTGCCGGAAGACATTTCTTGGTGCTCTGCATAATGACAATAAAGATTCTTGACTTGACTCTTGACTTCACTTGAATAATAATAACAATAATAATAAAGAAAACAGTATGTACAAAGTAAGTGTGAGAGATAGTGTGTGTGTGGTGAGTAGTGTTTGGTAATCTGGTTGTTTCTAAATGTGACGTGTGAGACATATTGGCTTTCAAAGTGGTGAACTTTCCTTCATTTGTTCTTTAATGTTGCAGTGTACAGAGCTCATGTTCTAGTCTTTCTCCTGTCTTGCTGCATAAACACTCGTTGCACTCCCTGTGCAACACTGATGTAGCGGGATACAACAGAGCACATCTGACACTTTGATCAGGGAACAGACTTCACTCTTTCATATACAGATTTAAGTGCAGCAGTGCTTTCTCTCTACAAAAGATCCTCCACAAATAACTGTAGCATACATCTAAATT